ACACCAAACTTAAGTGGTCTGGCAGCAGCAAAGAATGCTTTCTACCCCCTTTCCTCCGTGTGGAAATCAGCATCCCTGTCATTCTTAACGGCTTCCCTTCGTCCAGATGGTTTCAGAGATGACAAACATAAACTGGTAATAATTTATTAAATCAATTAAGTCCTCACTCTGAAAATGGGCCCTTTCCATGTGTGCACTGTCTCAAGGCGCCACTAGATGGTAGGACAGGACTCCACACAGCCCTGCAGCCGCCCCGCCTGCCCAGACAAACCCCTCCAAAAAGCAGCCGAATCAATCCTGCCTGAAGATTCATACCTCTACAGTACAACTTAGAATTTTTATTCCAGCTGCATACATCGTACTCTTTGTCCTTTGTAGCTAACTGATATCTTCTAGAGCTCTGTCTTCAGCAGCGGAGAGCAAGGCACACACCAGATTTAGCACAGGGGAGGTCCCGTGGTACCCAGCTAACACCTATAAACTATGAAATTAATAAGTTAATCAGTGATAAACTATGGAAATTAAGCCACAGGATTTATCTGTAAACTGTGATCCCGTGTGTAAATCGCACTGGCTGAGAGGCAAGAGCAGCTACAAGAAACTTCTGCTTGGAATCATCCTCCAGATGAGGCGCTGCCCCTCCGGGCAGGGCTCTGTTCCCTCTCGCTCTTGGGAAACGTGCACAGAAATGTGGGGGGTGGGGGACACCACCACCCGCTCTTCAGTGGCTTCCACAGGTATCGAGGAGAATAATGAGAAATTTTTCACCTGTAGTGGTAGAAAATTTAAATTCAAGGCAGCAAGGATGTCAATAATAGTTCAGAAATAACTAAGCTGCTATGAGTAAATGAAAAAGAGGCAGTGCAAAATGACTAGATTTTGGTTTCAGATTTTTTTTTTTAATGAAACAATATCTTGTAAAATCTAACTTGTATTAGTCACAGAACTTAAAGCCTGCTTGGATATGAAAGATGACTGGTACATCCGGTGAAATACATCTCAAGGACTTTCAGCAAAGATCAAACACATTAAACAGTGATTTCCAAAGTCTCGGAGAAAAGGCAGAGGTGTGCTACAGAAGTCAGAGGAAAGGAACAATCTAACTTAACGTTTTTATTAGAGAGCCAATAGAAATGAACTGAATAATAAATATACTTACAGGTCTAAAGAGGAAAGATTTAAAGCATCAGAGTGCACAAGCAAATAGAATGATGCAGATATTTGAAAACATACAGACAACTAACAAAATGCAGATCTCTACACGACAAGGAACTATCTGCAGACAGTTAGTGCCAAGTAAGCCTTATTTACTACGGGAGAAAGAAAAGCACTTTCTTCACCTGGTGTTTCCAGCCCTGCTGAATAGACAGTGCTGTGGACAGTCCTGGGCAATGGTTCCCCCCTAGCAGGTGAGTATTAACTTAATCATCCACTCTTGCTTTATCTGTAAACACAGAGCTCAGGACTTCCCTGAATTAATCCTTGTTTGGACTGTGTAGGGGATTGGATGGGCAAAGAACACCATGAACCTTCAAGAGATTTTAACACTGCTATCACAAACAACAATACTGCAAATATTCCAAACTCCCTATAAAGCAACTTCCAGTATTTGTCTTCTGCTGGAAGATATTTTCAGAATCTCACACTTTATGTTCAATATAAATCGTATTCTTTGATTATATGCAGGATCCTATTGGTAAAACTGTCTCTTAGTATAAATCTCTGCTTTCCCTGCATCTACTCTCTTGTGCAGCTCAAGCCAGCAGTAATACCTGTTAGTATTTTCTTCACTTTGCTAAGCCACCAAAGTTCTTTAGAAAATGAGCTCTCTGTGACTCTTAATTATCTGGGTAGTTTGAATTAATCTTCCACAGGCATCAGTAAATGAGACTGCTGCACAATGTTTCAGGGGAAGCCTCCTCTCTCCTCACTCTGGGACACAAGCCCTTTGCTGTCTCTGTTACACACACATCTCTGGGACAGCCAGGAATCCCACTGGTCTCTCCCACAGCTTTGTCACACACCATGAGACCAGATATATAGATGCCACAGGTTTTGTCCTTTTTTTAACCTCCAAAGGATGGGACTCGGTGTACTGAGAAATAAGTTTTTTTCACTGGTAGTATTGATTTTCAGTTCAGTCAGGTACAGTATCTGATTTCTAATTAAATCAGTGATTACACGAATTTTACATCCTTCCAGAGTCATCAAATACCAGGCCAAATACTTCACAGAACCTGAAACTATGTTACAGTGTCAAATATTATCAGACCAGTCTTTTGATCAGCTTGAGCATCAGCTAATCGGCCAAAACTGACTCCCAAGTGAGCGTGCAGCTTGACATTAACTGTATTGTTCTAATTTAATTCTCCATCAAGAGGGTTCTGCATCAGTCACCCTATCTCTTTTCTTAGGATCAGGGATAAATGGATAGGCCTACACTGTCATAGCAGTCAGACATCTGGATCTCAGTTTCAGAAATGACTGCCAATCATTGTCCACATTAAAAGAACTCCTTTATCAGTCCTGTCCAAACTGGGGTTGCTGGGTATTGACAACTGATATAGAAGCTTTAGCAGATGTGCCTCAGCACTCCCCTGAGCCCTGCTGGAGTGGAAAGGATTTATTACATGATTAGCATATTAATACTGTCCTGCTTTTTCCCAAATACAGAATGCAATACTGCCTTTTTCCCTCTTGTTCTCGTTTGGATTTTTTTTTGAGGGGGGAAGTTTGTTTGGTTTTTGTTTTTTTACTGAACTTTTTCAGTGAACCTTACAAATATAGAGTCTTTCTGCTTAAACCTTTCCTTGCAGATACTTGATCCAGAATTGGTTTCAGATTATAAAAATAATCATTTGGAAGGACCACTTGTATTTAAAATAGACTTGTATTTAAAATGTCTGGTATCACTTTGGAATGAAATCCACAAGGAGAAATGTTCCAAAATACTTTTAAAGTCAGGGGAAAGATAAGTTATATGAAGTGAAAAATTAAGAGCTTTTTCCAATTTTGAATTAACAAGCCCACAGCTAGAACACTGTATATAGTTCAGAGTACATTCATACTGGACATCTGACATCTAAGAAGGCTTGAGGAAGAAAAAGCATAGAAATCAGGACTGAGAGCCTTTTTGAATAATGTTTTAAATAATTAAATGGTTTTAATTAACTGACAAGTGGAAAAACAGAGTAACCAAACCAATGTCTGTATGTATTTTTAGGGAGATACATTGCTTATAGCATTTAAGTAGGATATGCAGAAGAATGAAGACAAAAAATTGCAGAGGAATATTGGATGAGAAGACAAAGAGTTACTTGGTTCATTTAGGCTGAACTGAGATTGTATATGCCACTTATATATGGAACAGATTTTCTTTGGCATGGAGGATGTCAAGAAGATGAGCAAACAGACATTTCACCTTGGTCTGTCCCTGGTTTTATACTCCTATTTTACCCCTGTAAAGGCACTGGCTATCCAGGCAGCAAAGCTGACCAAGGTGGCTTGACCCTTCAGCACTGCTTGTCTGGACCATGGTGTGTTTTCTGGGAGATTTATGTATTTAACAAAGCAGTGAAAGAAAGGAAAGAGCCATCCTTTTTGCAGCTTTAACTTGGACTCCCTCCAGGATCTGTAGCAGCAGGCAGATGTCAGCACCTCTCTTGGTCATTGCACAGAAAGCTGGGGTCAAAAATTCTGCTTGAATTGTGTGAGAATGGCAGACCCTGCAGCCATCCAGGCAGTTTGCAGCAGTGCAGCCCCAGGCCAGCTGAACACTGGCTTTGTTACCATTCTCACAGGTAGTCCCCAGCCTGGAAGCTTCCTCCTGTATTCCCACCCTTGGCTGGCCTCCCATGACTTATTCACAGCAAGAACCTCTGTTACAGAGCAAACTCAGTCAAGCCCCCAGTCTCCACAGCCCTGAGCAGTCCTTCCTTACCTGTGGGTATCAGGTCCATGGAGCACCTCAGCATGTCAGCCCCAGGACTGGAGAGCTACAACTCCTCAGCAGTTCCACCTGAGCCAAGGGAGAGCTGATCCCGGCCGCGCTGGGACAGACACCCTCAGCACACCACTACCACAGCTGAGTACACATCTGCTGCCCTGTGGAAGCTGCTGGACCCTTTTGGCACAAGCTGCTGCACCTTCTAACTACACCCAGGAGCTGGATGCAAAGCCAGTTCTTCCATTGGCATCTCCTCAGCACCTTCTTCAGGGCTGTCTGGCAGCAATAATGGCTCTCAGCTGGGAGCCAGGACCTTTGCCCAGGATCTGCCTGCAGATCTTGCTATAAGCTGCCAGATCAGGTGGATCCTGCTAGAAGCAGCCACAGTCTCCCATAGCCATCCCTTCCCAAGAGCAGCACCAGACACCCTGATGTTCCTCAAAGGCTCCCAGCAACCCCCAGGAAGCTCCTAAAGGATCTTTAATCAGAGCCAGGAAACTGGCAGTAAGTGCTGTGCCCGTGGCCACCTTGGCTATCCATGGCCTCTGGGCAGGGAAGAGGGAAGAGGGCAGCCCCTCTGACAGCCCTCAAACCTTCTTCAGCATGAGTTTCAGCTCTTCACTTCTACTGATGATTAACATACCAGCAACAAAGTGCAGTCACAGAAAACAATCAAAGCTTAAACAGTCAAAGGTAGTGGATGAGATTTTGACAAGCACATGGATTGTCAGGTGCCTGTGCCTTGTTTGCCATCAAATCATCAAGCTCAAGGTACAGCACATGTAACTGTCCAAAGTGTCCTGGATGGGGAGAGAGGAGGAAGTCACTGCTGCCTCATTGCACGAAATAGCCAGTGTTGTTCCCACTGCCTCATTTTCCCAGCACCCAGACAGGGCCTGGGGCTGAAGAGCCTCAGCTGAGTGTCCGTGGGTGGGTCCATCCCCCAGGTGAGGGGGTGTGGCAAGGGGTGCCCCTATAGGGAGGTGCCGGGGATGCTGCAGTAGTTGGCTGGTGTTGGTTCTGGCTCCTGCTGGCTGCCTTGGTCTCTCCCATGATGTTGGGCTTGAGGATGGACTTCAGCATGCTCCTGGAGCCTCTGGGCTTTGTTAAGGTCCTTGAATGGGTGAGTGGAGCTGGGGAAAGCTGTTTCCTCTGCTGGCCCAGGCCTGGCTTTGCTCTTGTGCCTGGGTTGGGTACCCCTGGGGAGGTGTGAGCCCCTGGGCTGATAGACCCTGCCCCAGGCTGTGGGTGCTGGGTGTCCAGCTCTGGGCTGCTCCTCTGCCACACCCTTGGGCTGCAGATACATAAACCTGATGTGTCAGCTACAAGTGTGTTATGGCAGCTTGTGCTGTTCTGATGATTGGGGGTTTAGGGTCTGGGTAGTGAAAAAAGGGAAAAGAAGAGCTGCTTAGAGAGTCAAGTTGATGTGTGATACTCTGAGCAGGTACTTTCTAATTATTTGAACATATAGCTGTAGGTATGCAAGACTTGTAAAAATACTATGCTGGCTATTTGCATACAAAAAACCCAACAAAATACAAACCCCAAAAACATTTCAATGTGCAACTGAAAAAATAAATGAGAAGCACTTTTAAATGGGCTTTGGTTAGCAGTGTTACTTATGCTTTTGGATTTTAGAAACTCAGCACTTTCTTCTCGACACCACTTCATACTTCAACTTTACTAATTTTGTTGCTATTTCAGCTGAATGTTGAGTTTCCTTCCTTTGAGCTCTAGTGGTGTGCACTAAAGTGTCTGTGTATCAATTCTCACAGGTTCTTGCCATCTTTGCTTTTACCACATGTGGAGGCTTTCAAGGTGAAACTGCTCTTTTAGTTTCCTGTGAAGGTGTGGTAAACAAAACAATTACAGCTTCTTTTACTTACCCATTTAGGTGAGCATTAACTGTTCAGTTATTACTTGATAATTATTTCTTACTCCCCTTTTCCCTGTCTGTCTCCTTATGAACATTGCTGTATAAATGAAGATGTGAATCTTCTGGCTTGGCCTGTAGCAGCAATATATAAATATTAAGTTATAATTGTTCAAAGAACAGTAGTTGTTGGTACTCTATAATTAGGTAGAAATGGCAATAGGTTGTATTATGCTTTGTATGACTCTGCCTTTAGCCTCTAGTCTAGCAGTGCATATATGCTATAGAAATTAATTAGTAGGCAAAACAACATAATTTTAACAGCCTAATTCTTTATCAATTTGGAGCTGCTTTGTAGGCCCAGATACTATTATTTTGAATGTGCCATTATCATATTTTTGTTCAAAGACTGAATGGAAAATTCTTCTCAGTTTATTCCAGCATTTTCTTGGTGAGGGTGTTGGGCACAAAAAACATAAATACTTCAGTGTCATTGTAGTGCTCTTGTAGAGATGAGCTCTTTTCCTGGAGCAGGAGGAAGGAGGCTTCCCCTGTGTCAGCTGCACAACTACAATGAGTGCAGGGTTGGTGTTCCATTTGTGTTCAATAAACATAATAACATAAATAAGTATAGAAATTGATCCAGTGGACAGCCAGTAAAAGCCACTACAACATATAGAATTTGGTCACAAAACCCCGCATTGTAACAGCATTTGGAGGGGAGAGTGAGGCTCTGGAATAATTCTATGCTGGAAACAGAGTGGTCAATGCTAGTCACACAGCTTTGTTTTATCTAGCTTCAGTGCTTGTGGTTTTTGTAGCTATAATGCCTTTTAAGTCCTCATCACCCTTTTTAACTGCCAGTCTCTCAAGTAATGTTAAGTCTGCTTCCAAATTAGGAATTTTTTTGTTCAACTGTGCAAAAAATAAAATTAGGGTTCTTATCCTGAAGATACTATTGTTTATCTTAGTGTAGAATGGGGCACAATATTCAGATAGCTTGGCAAACCCTGGTGTTACATATATGTATATAAATAATCAATTATGTATCTTTCAGAGTAAACTTATACAATCAGAATGCTGAAGCACTGTTGCTGTGATGCATGAAGTATAATTATATGAAGCTCCCACTATACAGCAAACTCTAACTACATGGATATACTCTTCACAGGTTGAATACTGTTGTATTTAGTGCACCAGACCCAAAAGGCTGTGGTGGTACTTGGACTGATGTTTACCTCATGGGCAACTTCTCCTCTTCTGCACAGTTCTTTGTTACACTGGCAGCGTTGGTGTTCCTCTACTGTATTACTGCCCTTGTGGTTTATATCGGATATAACCATGTGTATCAGCAAAATAACAAATTTCCACTAACTGTAAGTAATACTAAGCTATTTTAATGCTTTCTCTTTGAAGCTACAGAGAGATGAGAAATATTGCTAATGCAAGAATAATTGACTGGTGGTGAATATCCAGTAGTTACAAAAGTTAAATGGAGTGTGAACACAAGTGTCTCAGACTGGTCCCTACAGCACCCAAGCAGAAAAGGGGACCCAAAGCCCTTGGCTATCCATATTTAAATCCTCTGTCCTTCTTCCATCACCCTCACTTTACTTAAGCTTGGCTTAAATTCTCATAAAATAGGTGATAGATTTTAGAAACAGATTTCTTAGGTTAAGATTGTCTTTTGCATCTATAAAGCACAAGCATAAACTTTTGTAGCAGGTTATCAAGACTGAATTGTAACTATAACATTGTTAATGACTAAATTGGCTTGTGGTCATTAGCACTGATGCAGTTGTCCTGGTGATATAATTGATAATGTCTCTGCCTTGCTCTCATGTACATTCCTGCAATTTTTTTTTACCTATTAATGAGTATTTCTCTTGTGTAGGACTTGGCAATCAGTGTCTTGACAGCCTTTTTGTGGCTGGTCAGTACTTTTGTTTGGGCAAAGGCGCTTGCTGGCATCAAAGTGTCCACAGGAGCCAGCATTATTCCAGGAATTGACTCTTGCAAAGCACCAGGAACAACTTGCCATTTTCTTTCTGTGACCAACATGGGAGTTCTGAATGTGTCTGTGGTATGTATGCCTTCCACCATACAGGTACAAAAATTGTGTTGGAAAACAACAAATGGTACCCAAGTGTCCTGCTCTACTGATTGCATGTGTTGCTCTGTGTTAAGATTTCTTTATGGGTTGTTTGTCATTCAGGCCCATTAATATTGTGGTAAAACACTGAGCAAATAATTTCTTGGAGGAAACAAGTTTTCCTCTAAAGAAAATAAAGAGAAACAACTTGCAGGCTGTACCTCTGGAGCTGTTCTGTGCAGCATTCCCAGACACATTTGAGGGTCTATTTATGCCTCTAGCTAACAGCAACTTAAAATATCTTACTAAGCCACCCAAGTGGTTTGATGACTGATGTAAGGATGGAACGCTGAGATGGTGCTGAACCCAACTTTTTACTCTTCATAGCAGAGCAAGTTAGGCTTATTGTATGATCTTCCTAGTGAATCCTGATTTTCAAAACTTCAGCTGTTATTCATTGGCCCAATAATAATTAGTCATTTGGTCTGAGAATGCATAGGCAGAGGTGCTCAGTGTCTGAAAATAACTTGTCTAATTCTGTGCAAAATATAGAGTAAGTTTGACTATCTGGTCTACAAAGAACTCTGTTAAATAGCTAAAATAGCTGAAGAGTGTGGAAATGTCTTGTCCAGATGAAAGGGGTGCCAAAGACACTGCTTGTTTCTGGTTTGCCTTGAAGAGACATTCTGGCTTTTTTAAAAAAAGGGAAAACAAAACCAAATCAAACACTACAAACTTAATATTACCTTCCCTCCCCCCCTTTTTTTTTCTTTATCCTACAGGTGTTTGGCTTGCTTAATATGATTTTATGGGCAGGAAATGCTTGGCTGATATACAAGGACACCAACTTGCACAACCAATGGAAGAGAATTTCTGAAAGTCCAACTGAAAGGGTTTAAAAACAAGTTGATATTTTGAAGTGCTTACCCTTTCACATCACACTACCAAGATCATGGAGCCATTAGGATTCATTTCACTAATAACTGATAATTCATACGAACTTCTATTTTGTACTATAGTTTAACATAAGGTCGTGGGTACTCCAACTGAAGTGTTTAATTATAATGAAATATATTGTGTCCTTCAAGGCTATGCAGCATTATATTACAGTTTTTGAAGAGCAAAATGAAGAGGTTATCTGGATGCTGACCCTTTCTTTTTCTTAAATTAGCCTTATAGGAGGGATGGCTGAGAAGCCACTGTATCTGGGATATTATTAGTTCTGACAAGTCTTCTCTGAAAAATGGAAAGTAAATTCATCCAGGGCAGGTGAGAGTGCAGTTAGTTTCTTCTTATCACTGATACCTTGAAAAAGTCACCTGAGTAGAATTCATAGCTCTGTCAAATTTGTAGCCAAGATGTGTAGGTTTCCAGATACTCCTTTCAGATCATTGTATCAGATCTGCTGCTGGCCTGTCAGGGAGGACATTACTTCTATGTTTAATATGTTGTTACTGTTTAATGGCTTGGGATAATCTCTGAACAAGGACATTTGTTGAATGAATTCATAGCTCCTAGTCTCCCTAATGTGAGAGTTTGTATACAGCTGCAATAGATGATTTAAACACTTGAAGGAGGTGGGGGAGGAAGAAAAAATAAAGTATGGCCCAAAACATTTACAAATACTGTAGAAATCAAAGTTGATATATTCTGCTACTTACTGCTCAGGCTTCTGTCTATTACTTTTGAGGTTCATGAACAGAGGTTGTGTGTGAAAGGATGTAAAGGTCTGAATATGACAAATTTGTTATTGATGTTGTTCAGCCCGTTCATTGGGAGCAATATTTGGGTATTCCCATGTGGACTTCTTTATCATGGTGTCTGTCTCCCTGGGAATTGCCTGGAACCACCATTTTGACAAACCTGATATAAAAGCTGTTCAGTTCTTTCTGGTCTGTTTAAACTGTTTATGATGAAAATAGACATAATAGTGTGTATATAATGCAAATTGTAACTGTTCAGTGTGCCAGAGCTATTGACCTTCTGATAGTGAACTGTAGTCTCAAAGAGTATAATAAAGTCAGTATGACTGCTGCTGAAAGAACATGCCCTGGGTCCTTACTGCTGTAGCAGTGGATGCAAATGCATTGGCTTTGTAGCTTCTTGGGGCATGGCTTTAGCTGTGGCTGCCCCTGTTGGCTGGAGGAGTTACCTGTGCTACAGGAGGGGCTTTTACACTAGGGCCCTGTGCTTTTTTGTAAGGAGGACTATGTATCACTCCTGCAGGCTACTGCTGCCTAATGCTGCTCAGTACTTCTTTGTCAGTTCATAGCAGGGGGTTTTATTACTTGTAGCTATCCAGTATTTCATTTTAATTGCCTTTTGGAAGAGGTAATAAGTGTAATTTTCACTTGTTTGCATTACTGTGCTGATTTATTTATTTAAAAACACATTTCATTCTAAAATCTAAAACTCCTATTTTCATATTGTCTAAGAAAAAAATATGGTAATTATACATTAATTAGGTTTTTCAGCCTTTGGGATATAAGCTTACATATGATGTGGCTAAAATATTTTATTAACCTTTAACACTTTCCACAGAAATATGTTCCTGCCTATATCTTATGTGCTTATCTACTTTGTCACAAACAGACCTGTTAGTCACTGGCATGGCCTAGTTATAAAATGGTAACAATATTTTTGCGTATAGGAGAACAGTAATGGATTAGATCAGTTTAAGCCTTATTGATGGCTGAGGTCTAGCCAACAAGTGAAACAGAACTGGAAATCTTAGCACACTTACTGATTGTTTCAACAAGAACTTAAATTTCATATGTGCTCAAAAAGACATCCCTTGTTTCCTTAAGGCTGAAACTTACCTGCACACTATTTTGCAGAAGAAACAGGTGTGTCCCATCCCCAGAGTGCTTTCCTTTAAAAGAGGAGGAGATAGAACATGACAGGCAGGACTATAGCTGGTAAAACAGATTCACAAATAAGGGATTGTGTTCTGTAGAAATCCAGGCTGCTTGTGTCTGTTCCACAGAGCCAAACACAGAGCCAGATGCTGTTAACAGGCCAAGGTAGGTGTGATATGTAGTCCACAGCAAGGAATATTTTAAAAAAGTGGCCCCATGTGCACTTCTGTCTGGTTAGGATAAAGGTTGTTTCCCTTTGTAGGGGGGAGGGACTGGTACAGAATATGCAGGCTTTGATGGCTGCTTGAGTCCTGCAGCTGAGATGAAATGGAAAGCATTGTGCAGCAGGAGTAAGCAGCTGTTCTCATTTACCCTGGACACCCACAAAGGGCTGAGCAGTCTTTCCCTTTGAATTAACATCATATTTGTGCTGGTAACACCGAAACATTCAGTGTCTTATTTACTCGTGGCAGAGGAGGGGGATGACTGTCTGTTTTACCAGCTTTATCTTGACTGCACAAGAATCACCAGCGCTATCAGGAGATGCAGTGTGCTTGATCCCTCTGTACTGAGGGAACAAAGGACCTGGAACTCTGCCAGCTCTCTACAGGTTAGTAATCCTCAGCTGGCAGCAATTTTACTCGCAGCCATCAGTGGAGCAAGCTCATAAAAATCCTCTCATGCTGCAGGAATTATTCTGGTAGCAGGCTATAGTTATGCAACCCTAGCAAGTTAACTGCTGTATGATCCCTGGTGAGATGCTAGAGATGGGGTTTTGATCAGAAACCCACAGTGGGAAGAAAGGCTGTAAGGTGATGGTGAAGGAAAACCAAGCTGAGGGGTCAGAATGGGGCAACAATAGAGAACTCTTTAGTGAAGGATAGAATCTATTGGCATTAGGATGTGTTTAAGGAAGCAAGTACATTGTGATTTAGGCTGCTGTGACCAGTGATCTGGGGATCAGACCCCTGTGACAATGCTGAGAAATGCAAGTCCCAACTCCCAAGAGAGTCCCTGCATGGGAGCTGGTGTGGTGTCAGTGTTGGCTGAGAGCTTCACCACCAGCCTGCAGGAAAAGCAGTGGGAAATTAAATCCAGGAGAAGTCTGGCAGTGTCAAATCCCCAAGAGCCAGTGCCAAAAGTGCAAAATGGAGTCAGTCTGGGGTCTGTACCACTTTGGCCCTGTCACCTCAGCAAACAAATCCCTCTGCAGCACAGGCAGGGGCTGGGACACTGAAACAATAGCTGACAGGCCACCACCATTGCTAGAATGGATTGTACTGGAGACAAAGAGTGCCTTGTGATGAGTGGTGAATTCCTCAAGGCTTTGGGCCTGCTGCACATTTGGTTAGCAGTGGAAGACAGGAGTGTGGAGTTCTCACTGAAGGTGAGAAAGAAGACAGATGCCACCTTGATGTGATCACCTGCTCATGGGCACAGGGTAGCTGTTTATTTTTCCCTATTGCCTAGAACTGAGCAGCACATAAAGCTGGGGCTGTGCTGGTTTGGCTGCCTGCCCTACTCCAAACTCCTGGGGAGCTGGTAGGGTACCTCACTCTTGGAAACTGCCTGAAAACAGTCCCTCATGCTTCCACAAAGGCCCCACTCTTGAGCAAGTCATGACAGTGTATCAAACATTCTGGATCGTCATGGATCTACTTTTATTCTTATGGGAGTATTTAGTGTGTGTTCATTCCTAGCAGATTTACTGTATTGCCTAAAGCAATAGAGACCAGAGTCAGAAGCCAGATTTTTCTGCTTAATCACCTTGAAATGCTAAGCTGAATAATTAATTAGACAAAAGAATGGTACAGGATAGGAACACGTCCCCATCCCTTAAATATTAGGAAGTGAGGTGGTTTTCTTCAAGTTTAAGATCTAGTCCCTGTATATTAGGAACACTCCAGAGTTGCCTTTGAGAGACTGACTCAAATGTGGAATTCCCTTCTATCATGTCAAGCGAATCCAGGTATCCCTTATAAACTGCTTTCCTACAGACACTACATATTTAGAGCAGGGAGAAGAAAGTAAAATTTCAGCTGTGTGTTTTTACAAATTTTCCATTTAATTTTCAGTTGCAGCTTCCAAAAATTTACCTGTACTCAGTAGCACTCCTCTTGCCTGGATATTTTGTTCTTCATCCTGAGTTAGGAAGGCAACAAGATAGAGCTGTGTTGTGCCATCCTTAAAAATTTGTGATCACATGGACACAGTCAAAGGTTTTGCCCTTTGTTTTAGGTCAAGCACTCTAGGTGCTAAGGAAAAATGTGCTGACCCTGACCATGTTTTTCTTCCATTCTTTCCTTGAGGAAATCTGTCTCTGCCAGATCTTATTCTCTGCTATCCATGTTTTCTGTTAATGCTTCACTGTAGACTCTGCTTGGCTGACACTGAAATGCTCCCTCACGCTTTTTTTTTCCCCCCTAACCTCCTGGACCAAACCCATAATACTCAGTAAGAGCATTCTTCTAGCTCTCTAAGTAGGTTCCCTCTCATTCTACTACATCAGCATTTGTTGCAAATATTAGGGGTATATTTGGACAGCTGGATCTCATAATCCATCAGGCCCATGGAATCTGATTGATTGCTGTTGCTGCCAGGAGATTGTACCTGCTGCTTGCAGGTATCTATGCCCTATCAGCAAAGGGTAGTTTGTACTTGCTATTGCATCCTGTCAACAATTGAGCAACTCCTCATTTATTCATAAAACATGCTCTGTCTTTTCTTGGCTTCTGACTTCAGGCTATCGCTGTCAGCTGTGTTTCCTCCTTACCTGTCTGTGCATTGGACTTAAAGCAGTCATAGAAGAGGCTGTGTGATACTTAACTCACAATCTGAGTGAAAACTGGTACTAGCACAAGCTTTAATCAATTCACCTGTTTTGTTTCAATTCAATTTGTAGTTGGAAGTAGCCCACACTCAAGTCCAGAGTTGTTACTTTCTGTGGCCTAAGATAAGCAGCTGAACCCCCTGGGCTATTTCTTGTCATGTAAAGCAGTAGTCATTTTGTGACACCCCCCCCCCCCCCCCGCCCAGGGATG